AGTTTGGTCAGAAAAATGTTGAACGAAAAATGTGTTAATAGATTTGGTTCTGAAATTGTAAATAAAAGCGACTGATTATACTGTTAAGGCCCGTTCACACCAAGAACGATAACTGACTATAACAATAACTATATTAGCTTCTACACTAACAAACGACAATGTTCTGTTTTTTATGCGCATGCGCTGCAGTTTTGTCGTCTGCCACTTTAAATTTTTGAGCTCTTTAAAGTTAGCCGGATTTTGATTGGTTGACTCAGTCGATAATGTTCTTCTGTGTTGTTATCGTTATAGTTGTGTTGTGAACTCTGCTATTATTTTACATTCTTAAAACTATATCTTTGTTGTTATAGTTATGGTCCTTGGTGTGAAGAGGCCTTGTGCATTTGTTATTATATATATTCTAAGACAAATTACTACAGTCTGGGCCAGCCATGCACATTTGGTCATATTAACTTTTTACAAGGTGTTTTAAAGTCTGTAAAACTCTTTGTAAATCCTCGTTTATCCATCCAGAAAGCACACAAATAACAGATAGCTTGTCAATGCGCCTTGGCAAAGACTAAAGGGACTGTTTTATCACAGGATACTAATCACAGAGACCTCAGGAAGACCTGCTGCAGTGAATTATGGGCCGTCGTGGCTCGCTGGGCAAGATTTCCTCAGGCTTCGAAGGAAGTTTTAATGTGTGTCCTTTTGGTTTCTCTGCAGAGGAGGAAGCCGTTCTGGAATCCATCCTGAGAGACAGATCTCACATCGAGGAAACTCTGAGGCTCGCGGCAGATGAGAAAGCAGGAGATTATGCTGGTGAGGACATGAAGCCTGTGTCTTAGACAGATACACACATAAACACATCGTTTCATTTCAATTTCCAGGCTTTTTACTCTAAGCTAGCAGGTGAATGTTGCCTTTAAACTTGGGTTCAGCAACATTTCACACTAGCATGGTGTTAAGAAACAGCTTAAAGTGTTAGTTCACCCAAAAATGAAAATTCTGTCATTAATTACTCACCCTCTTTCAACAATTCGTCTCCTCCGCATCACCCTGTAGCGCCATTAAAATTGTTAAATCTTAAATTAAAATTATAACAGAAAATATTTCAAATAAAAAATAAATCAAAATATTAAAAAAATATGCTATTTCAACAATTCGTCTCCTCCGCATCACCCTGTAGCGCCATTAAAATTGCTAAATCTTAAATTAAAATTATAACAGAAAATATTTCAAATAAAAAATAAATCAAAATATTAAAAAAATATGCTAATAATATTTAAATAAACTGTAAAAAAGTCAGCTTATGTAAGTTATGGCAACATTAATTCTGTTTGTGGAGGCAAAATCACATAATTAGTTTTTATAGAAACCTTAAACTTATTTTATTTTAGCTTGTTGCCAATGATACATTTCTCATTTTTATTTAACTTGATGTTTTATAATAACTAAAAGTAAAACTAAATAAAAGTTAATTAAATCTATATAGATAGACCTATTAAAAAAAAAAAAAAAAGCAGTAAAAATGGCAAAAACAGCTTTAACTAAAATTAAAAGAAATAAAAAAGAAATAAAAATTACAACAAATTACTAAAACTTCAGCTGAAAATAAAATAAAAACTGAACATATATATTAAATAAAAACTATATAGATTAACAAAAAACTAAAAATGACAAAAACACACAACAAATTAGTAAAACTTTAAAATTAAAATGAGAACTGAAAATATCAAAATAAAAACGTAAAAATAAATTAATAAATTAAATTTATGCAGTTAAAAAGTATGAACATGCAAATATGGCTATAGCTGTGGAACAAGCAATATTTAATTAGTTAAAATATATGAGATTGAAAGAAGTAAAAATTAATAAGATATGAAGAGTTTGGTTCCAAAATGCGATAAACGCCTTTTTTTTAATTGAGTTCCCGCCAAAATCAGTATTGTATCTGGTCGGTATTGAAAAGTCCATTTTTAATTTTACGCAAAATGCGATATCCGCCGAGTTATTCTGTCATGTTTTCTCCCTTTCTTTCCAAACCGCGACAAACGCCAGTCTCCCTTCTCTGCAGAATGCGATATATCCGCTCAACCAATCACAGCGCACCATTCCACGCACTCTAGACAGTAACTGACAAGCTAAGCAATATCACGTTCATAATCCCAGATGAATCGCCTTCGATTATGAACGCGATTTTGCGTAGCTTGTTAGTGAACTACGGCTCTGTGTAGTAAATGCGCTCCATCTGAACGCACGGGATGGAGATTTACTACTAATCACAGAATCACAGGATTTATAGTGTTTTGGAATCGAACTCTTCATATATAGACATACTAAAAATGATCAAAAACTAATAAACATTACAACACACACACACACACACACATACTAAAACCTTAACTAAAATGAAAACTGAAAATATGAAAATAAAAACGAATTCAAAATATTAATAAAAACTATAATAGTATTTCAGCGATACTAAAATAATACTGTTTTGAATCAGCATAAATCTAATTACATTTAGAGTGAACATGGCTGAAAATGTCTATAGCTGTGGAACAAGCAATATTCAATTAGTTAAAATGTATGAGATTATTGCATTATTTATGATAATTCATCAATAAAATCCAGAATTCTTACTCGTTTCGTATATGTATGCCTGACAAATATGCATCACATTAAGTTTATTAGTTTGTCAAAACTGTCTAATCTAAATCGCTGGAAATTTTATGTGCAAATACATAAATCTTAAATTTAGGCTAAAAATATTTTTTGTATGTGGTTTAGCGTTATATGAATGTTGATTGGTTATTCATCTCCATCATCCAAACCATCCCACTGCGCATTCAAGCTGCCATCATCATATTCATAAGGAAGAACCTATAAGGCTGCTGTGTCAAATTTCAATGTCTTTAATTAAAATACTAATTTTGAATTACCTGTCCTAAACTTGCGCTATTTGTGTTCCCGGCCCAGTCATTTATTGTTGCTCGCAGCTTTATTTAAACATGCAACAGCAAATGTGGTTCTTTCCTATGAGTATTTCATTTCACTCACAAAGTTCCAGATACATCAGAGCTGGTAAATAAAATCCTCTAGACAATGAACTGCAGGATTAATCGAGGCTAAAGGCTCTTTTCGTTGGTATATCCGAGTATCGTGGCTTCTTTGAGAGGTTCGTCATTCCACAGCTGTAGCACTGGTGCTCGTCCAAGGGGGGCCAGAAACAGAGGAAGAAAGAAAGAGAGAGAGAGCGTTCAAATAGAAAACACAAGGCTTTCTTATTACTGCCAGAGGAACGAAGCCTCCATCTGAAAGCAATCAGGAGTTTCTCAACAGCCCTCGCTTTATATAAGACCTCGATGTGCTCCAGTCCTCACAAGTCTGTTCAAAATTCTCATTAATACACACAAAATATCCACTGTTTTTAATTATTTATACAGTAATACCTTATAAAAGAGGAGGTTCTTCCGGCATAAATTGGGCTTTTGGATTGAACTGAAATTTTGACGTTTTGACTTTCAGCAATACTTTACGACTTATCACAAACAATATCCGAAATAATAAGTGGCAGAATTGATAAACATTTACACTTATAACTAACACTTATAGCACTTTCACTAAATAAGTTAGGCCATGTTTTTAAAAAAAAGTGACATTATTAGACCTTTAATTTTGGATTTTTGCGTAATGTTACTGTTAGTTATCAGACTTTATTAATTAATTAATTAATTTATAACAGTACACATTTTGTTGTTGTTGTTGTTGGTGATATTAAAACCCAATAGTTTTTTTTGTGTGTGACATTTTCATAATCTGCATATTTAATAAAATGTATTACGAATTGTGCATAATTTAAAATATTTAAACATTTAAATTACGCAATACAAAAACATTATTTTGGTTCAATTATATTACGCTTTTAAATGCATTTAACTTTTGACTTTCAACAATATTTTACAACTTCAAACTTTTAGAAAATATCCCAAATAATAAGTGACAAAATTCAGATTTTATATTTTATATCATTTTATTTATTTATATATTTTTTTTTTTGTTGAAAAAATGCTATTTTAGACCTTTAATTTAGGATTTTTCCTAATATATATATATATATATATATATATATATATTACTATTAGTTTATTTATTACTATATTACTATACTATACTATATATATATTACTATTAGTTTATTTCTTTATTTCTTTATTTATAAATTTTTGTTGGTCATAACATTAAAACACACCCAATAGTTATTTTGATTTGCTCATAATCTGCATGTGTATGGACATTTAATAAGATGAATTATGAATTGTGCATAATTTGCATATTTAAATGGACAAAAGACACAATGTAAAAACATAATTTCGTTTGTATTTTATTATGCTTCTGGATGAGCTTTTGACTTCTTGACTGTATAGTAATGACGACAAAATCTATAAACAGAATGTATTCATTTAGATTTGATAGTTTTATATAATTTTCACCAAATGAGTCAATTTTTAGACAAATGCAATTTTTGGAATTTATTTATTTACACACTCAACATTTTTGTAGGTGAAAACATCAGCCCAGAAACATTATTTTGTGTATATTATATTGTGTTTTTTTATATGGTGAATTTTGTAAACCCCTTGTTTTAACCAATTCACCAGATTGACCTATTCCCTTAGTTTGAGTGTGATCTAAATGAGGTTTTAGATGAACAAGGGCGAGTTATTATTGTAGAGCTGTTGGGTGTATGTAGGTTGTGTCCTCTGAAGGGTGACTTTCACAGTGTTGAGTGTCCTGCTAACCTCTGACTGAACACTGGGATCCAGCTTGCCCCCTTGTGGTTCAGCATGGTATTTAACCCCTACACTCACCACAATAATGCAAAACTGACCTTTACACTTGTGAGGAAGTAGAAAGAAGCTGAAACAAGCTATCAAATATCCTCTGAGTGCCAGTGGGATCAAAGGAAGAAAATGTGTCCTAAACCATCAGATCACAAGAAACATTAGTTCAATATGAGTACATACGGTCGTGCAGGGGCTTCTGGGTACAGGCATGGGTTTTCCACCATTTGACACCCATAAATGAATATACAGTATTTAGTGGGATCTATGCTAAATTTGGTATATTTATGCTTTTATAGATTAAAACAATTTAGTGAGGCATTTATTTATTTTTACTTTAATTTATCTTTTATGCACATTTATCTCGTTAAAAATATAATTAGGTTGAATCTTAGAAGATGTTCAGATCATATTTCACCACAAAATCAAAAAAAAAAAAAATTTAGATTTTGCCAAAAGAAAATGAAGCTTATTAACCCACCCCC